ATATTTCTAGGTATATGGTCTCATGAGTAATATTGCTTGAAGATAAAAATCAACCATCTATTACTTCCATATGTATAGATTTTGATTTCTTTACAAAAAGAATTTTATGAAGTTTAAAAAATTCCTCATCTAAAAAGCAAGCAGATGCTCTTGAATCTATTAAGACATTTGTTTGAAGTCTTTGTAGGCAAAGAAATAAAAGTATTACAAAATAACAAGCAAGTTGGATAAAGAGAGAAGGATCTTCATCAATTTTAGGTGTGAGAATGTCTAGCCACATGGTTCCTATTGTAGTATGGCTCATTATTTTTTTGAATGATGGCACTTCTAGTGTTAGTTTTATGTTGTTGTTTTTTAGATAATTTTCAATTTTTTAGTCTTCTTTACTAGAATATAAGAATATATCTTATTCAAATCAACACTTTTTTTTTCTCTATTATAAGAGATTTAAACCATATCACACCAATTTGCATATTCTCATTTTTGAAATGTAAAAATAGTGTATTTATTGAAGCAGCACAGTATAAATATGTAGTGCATTATTTTTTCAAAGTCTATAAGCGTTGATCTTGACGGCATTGAAATAATTGATTATTATACTTTACAGCTTAGCTAATAGCTTCATTGAATGTTTGAAGATCAAATAATGATAATAATAAGTCTTTTAAATCATCCTTTGATCTCTAATAAAATTGACTCATAAGAGCTTGTTTATCCAAATTGATATCATAAGCCAATTATCTAAAAGTAGATGTATAAACTGATGCAAAAGTGTGATCCTTGATGTTATGAATAAATCTTTGTTGTTGTCCATCAGACCTTATCATGTTTTCCAAATACCTCTACAAATGCTTTTAAAAAAGCTTCAAAATTACCTAAGATTAAAGATTTATTCTCAAATAAAGGAACAAATCAAGATAAGACTTTTCTTATGAATAAGGTTCCAACTAAACTAATTTGTGACTCTTGTGGTCAATAGTATTTAAGTTGTAGAAAAGTTATTAATCAAATTTGGTTAATAAATCCTCAGAACTTCAAATATGTCCCATCAAATATTTTTAGAAGACTAATCCAAGGCTCCTTATATCATTTAATAGGTAAATGTTTTTGTTGAGGTATATGTGCTATCACCTCTTTAGATGTAGAAGCTTAAGAAAGTAGTTGCATTACAAGTTGACTTGTTCGAAGTCTTACATGACCATGAAATCTTTAAAAAAAAAATCTCAATTTCAGCAATTTTACAAGCTAAAGCATTCAATGTATTTATAATAACATCTAACTTTGACTGAAGAGAGTCAATCATACTAATATCATCATTTCTAGCTATCTTAAAAGAAGAAAAAAATAAATTTTTAAACAATATCAATTTAAAGGAGGATACTCTGTAATTTCTAAAGCGTTTAGATGTCTTTAAGAAGAAAGATAATCCATTTTCTATTAAGAAAGATCAAGCTTTATTATTAATTAGATCGCAATCTTGACAAATTATTATAGATATATTATACAAGAAACCAAACAAGAACTTGAACAAAAGAGTTTCAATAAAAAAAACTAATAAGAACTTAATTAAAACAAATGATTACAAGATCAATACCATGAGAAGTAAGCTAAAGCTCCAAGCAATGTGTTATCAAGATTCATGATCTCCTCAGCCTCAATTCTAATATATATTAAGTATTAGGAAGCTTCTTAAGAAGTTTTTATATTGCTTGAAGATGAATCAATTTTAGGAAGTTCCTTGAGAAGCTTTCATGTTGTTTGAAGATGAAGCAAATTTAGAAAGCTACTTGAGAAGTTCTCATGTTACTTAAAATATTTTAAGACATGCCATGTTCTCATATTTTTTAAAACTTAATCTTTACTAAGCAACAGCTAGAATTATCAAATTTTAATCTACACTAATATATTTGAAGAGTCCAACTTCTATACTTCGAAGCAATTAAAAAATCAAAAGCATCATTGTTATTCATATTGGAAGCATTCAAGAACAACTTTGCCACCTTCTCTAATCACCAAGAAAAAATTATACTTAAAGAATTATATAAGTTATTACAACAAGCACCACAAGTAATTAAAGAGCCAAAAGTTATGAAGACAAATAGATGTCCTTACAAAGGTGCTTCTACTTGGTGAGATCTATTATGCTTTGCATATCTAAAAGATTAGCAAAAGCCAAAAAAGGTTTAAACATGTGGTGCTTGTGGTCAAATTGTGCACTATAAGAATTCAATTTTTTTTCTAATTTAAAAGGTTGGAAGGCAAAAACTAGCATTCTCAATAAATGTCCAATACTATTATTCAATGGTGCTTGTAATGCATGCATTACTATTGTTGTCTTTTCTAGGATATCAACTCATTATTCATGTTTAAAAAATACATGTATAAATTGTGTTGCAAAAAACCAAACAGACAATATAGAATGGAGGCAAATTAATTTGTGAAAATGGCGGTAAAAAAGATGGTGGAATTAGAGGTGAGGCATCATAAAAAGAATTATTACAAAATAAGAAGAGGGAGCTAGACACTTTTTCACCATTAGATGGCAATTTTTTTTGTGGCAATTTGTCAAAAAGGAGTGTCTTAAGTAATTTGAGGGCATGTCCCTAATTGGATCCTAATAAAATTTGTTCATTGAGTTCCTACTCACTTTTCAAAAATTGATTTGTGTGCAATTTACTTGAATTTTAACAAGAAAAAAAATTTGTCTTTAAGCAACACATTAAATTCAATGTGATTAAAGAGAGAGACAGAGCAAGGATAGATTTTTTCTAGAATATTTATCAACATTTTTCACTTTCTTCCCAACAAGTATTTTTCAATTAGCAATTTCTTCAGTGCCAGAGAAATGTCTCCTTGTCAACTGGATAAATTTTACTGATGTTTTCCGTCAGTTTTCAAATGAGATTGCACAGTGTATATTAGAAACCTTTTTCAGCACACACACACAAAGAGAGGGAGTGTGTGCGATTTTATTTATTTATTACTATTTTTATACTGTCTTTTTCACTCCTCAATTGACTACACTGCATTAGCTGCCGCCAGGGTGATTTGTGATGATGCTGTTTTATCATATGAATCATACGCTGTGATTGCTACATTCTGAATCATAATTTTAGGGGCAGTTTGCAGGGTATTGTGATGTACCTTAGTGTTTTGACACCATGACCGGCGGATGCTTGGGGGTCAGAGCATCATCCGATTTGCACCATCAGAGACTCCTCCCTCTGGCATGAAGAAGAGCTGGTTAGAAGGTGGTAGATTCGTACGCTGAAGGTGATAGGACAGCAGCTTGTTCTGCAGATGAACATGAAACGGCCTCTCCAAGTCACATTGAAGTGGTGCCCTCTTTCGGTGAGAAAGCAATTGGTTGCTCGGCAACGGATATTTGCCACAGCGATATGATGACAGATCGCATGTGTGTTGTTAGGACTGGCAACTTGAAAATCTGCCTGTACCCTCAGCAAATGCCAGTATCATTTAGCTACGAAATGCCTGCAAGTAGCTATAGAATATACCTCCTCAGCCTGCCTCGTCCATTAATCTGCCTACCCAACTTGCAGATTCTAATGTATTGGGTCTCAATTTTGGGTTTAGTCTCACCAATACAATGGATCGTAAGAATTGGCCCAGGCAAAGTTCTTTTGTCCAGGTTGCAAAGATGTCGCACAGGAGACGCAGGATCCAAGAGGAGAATCAAAATCAAGGAGCGGGGAGCTTCCTCTTAAAAGTGGTCAGAGCATTCTGGCGTCAGATTTGTCATCGAGGGTTTTATAATTGGTTGAGGCAGGCGCTCGCAAATAGACGTCAATGCTTTTCGGAGGATAACACTGTGCAGTGGGAGCCTGCACTTGAATCTCCAGCCTACTCTCGTTAAAACCTGCAAAGCACTTGCAGTGTCTTTCGCTTTGGAATGGGGCTTTCCCTACCCAATCGTTCTCCCCATTACTATACTATAATACTTTACTTTAGCATCAGGCCTTCATCAGTGTATGTGCAGTGGTCCAAGTCGGCAACATGTAAACGATCTCGCAGTTGCCGGTGGTGGACTACGATTGGCGGATGACTAATCCCCACTTTTTCGCAACTCCGTTTTCCAAATTGTTCCACTTTCTTAGGTAGGGCTGGGCAAGATTCAGAGCACGGACGGACTTTCTTACCTTGTTTTACTCACAGTTCTGCGACTCCTCTCCTCGCTCCAAGACTTTCCCATGCCACTTACTAAAACGATCTAGAACATTAATGAACTTGAAAATCCAAAAGCGTGAGCAGCCTTTGAAATCTACTCCGACGACGAGCACGCCCACCAAATGCTTAAAATGGTAAATATGATTCCTCTCCCGATGTATAATCGGATGTTGCGATATAAATAATTTCTATTGCGGCAGCGTCATTCCAGCGTGTACCGAATGGAATCAAGAAAATGCAAATGGGTGAGGGTTTTTCGATCGATCAGCAGGAGTGTCAGTCCGAGAGAGACAAAGGGTCTGGGCGTGGGCAGATTTTTAGGCGTTCGCTCGGTAGAGCCGTGATATCCAAGGGTGATGCGATATACACCTTCGGTGATTAGTAATGTGGAGAATGCTTGGGTGGGGATTGCGCCAGTGGGGCCTGCGCTTGCACTGCTGGAAGGATTTCGCCCCTACCCACTTTAAAGGTCCGTCTCTCTCCTCTCTCCTCCGCCTAGTGTATTCCTTTAAGCGGTACCTAGACCACTAACACAAAGCCTGGATGCAAGGGCAGGGCTATTGCTCGCGAGAGAGACGACCATTGCCACACCACATAACATGGACTAGCAGTTGCATACTTGCAGTATAGGAAGAGGGGGATCCTCAATCTTTCACTACGACATCGCCAACTTCACAGACGCACAGCATCCTCGCGGGAATGAGCAGGAACAGCGGAGAACAGAAGGAGGCGGCGAGGATGTCGTTGCTATGGTTTAGAAGCTCCTCATGATTCTGTCACTCTGCTTTAAATCTCAGTTTCTTTGAAGGCTTGCGATGGGTTGCAACGCCATCAAAGAACTTTGGGGGCGAAGTTTCAGACCGGTGGAGTTTTGGCGAACTTCGGAGCTTCGGGGTGTATGTGTTTGTGGTTGGGTTTGGGTGAGGTGAATTAGGGAGGAGGTTATGTTGTGTATGTGGTTTCTTCTCCTTTTTTCTCTATTTTTTTTTGAATTTTTTTAGGGGTAGGCAGGGGTGGGGTCGGTGTTGAGGTGGGTCTTTGTAGGCGTGTGCTTCGCGGGGTGATGTGATGAGCGAGGTGTTGGAGGGTGAGGGAGGAGGTTGTAATGCGCGGAAGAGAGAGTGGAGATTCAGCTGTTTTGAGGCGAGGGAAAGATCTTTGGGAAGATGTAATAGGCTGCAGCAATCCAGAGGGTAAGAGAGTGGATTGGCTCTGATTTGAGGCCGTGGTGAATGTGATAAATGCGTTGGTAGTGCTGCTGGATGAGGGTTGAGAAGTTGTGAACGCGCGGCAGCTGCGACATAGAGTTTCAGGGCGGTGTTTGAGACAGAGGCGGTGGAGGGAGTGTGAATACCGTGTTGGGTCACCGCGCAAGTCTTGTGATTTTATTTTTATTTATTTTTATTTTTTAATTTGCTCCTGCGGGAGGTGTTTTAGTGGTCAACAAACGCCAAGAAAGTGCTGGACAGGAAAGCAGGCGACTGCCGCAGCTCATCTGATCCTGAAGTGGTTGTCGAACACTCTGCCGGAAAGGTTCGTCTGAGGCTGGGGACAAGTTGAGCAGTTCGTTGCCGAGAATAAACAGCATTTTAGGTTGTGACTGTGACTCTAGCAGCTCAAATAAAGAAGAAATGGGTCTCGTTTCGCTGTGACGAGGCCTTGTTGTTTTGGAGTGGCCCTTCGAAGATGAATGTGAGTTTCGAAGTTTTAACATCAGTCATTTGAGAGCGAAGTCGCTGTTATTCATGGCGGCTTGGTCTTCAGAGTCTTTTTCTCTCATCTTGCGATAGGCTGTAGGTGTAGTGCTGTGGTTAGCATACTGCTGTTTGATGTAGTATATCAAAGCTCGTGGGGTTCTTACTTACCAAGCTAGGTTGTTCTGTCACACAAGATTGCAACCGTGAGATCCATCTGATGTGAGTGAGTAGTTACACAGGAAATTTTACATTATCAACCTTGGAAATTACATAGAAAATCACGTAACAGTTGTAGGATAACATATTTCCTGAGAAATCCGGCTTGGCGACCTGATGCAGTTGTCATCAGACTATGAACCACTGTGTGCCAGAGTGGGATAGAAGTGACGATATGCTCGATGCCTTGATTCCGTCAGATGACTTCCATGGACCAGTGTATGGGAAAGCAGAGTTTGTGAGGTCAAGGAAGAGTCACTTTTGTCAAGTGTGAGTGTTATTCTAATTTCACAGCATGCCATTTCTTTTTCATCTGTGGTCAGTTTAGGCATGAAAGTCCAAACTCTGGATTGTTTCTCACGCCCCGAATGCACTCGTTGTGCGTGACAGACCCGTTCAAAATACATTGGAAGCGGGTGGGAATGATAATGGAAGTGTAAAGATGCAGGGGCAAAGTAGTAAATGTAACAAGCCACAGTGGCAGGCCAACTATCCAACGACTTGGAGTAGTGGTCAGGGAACTGAAGATGGGGTGACCCCAGGTAAACCAGTTACTTCAAAGAGTGATGCTTTACTAGAGGCTGCGGTGAATGAAGCACCCACGGAAGTACATCCTGGGCATCACATCGATGTTGCTCATGACGAAATGGTGTCTTGGTTGCAATATCCACTGGATGATACGTTGGAGAGGAACTACTGCTCCGATTTTTTTGGAGAGCTTCCAGATTCCCACACTCAGTTATTGAGAGAGTCTTTTGGGCATGGATCCACCAAGACAGCACGTACTTCTTATTTGGGATCTCCAGGGAACGATTCTGTAATGAATAGGGCTTCGACTACGGATACGGCCATGTTGTTAGGTGCGGGCCGTGCGGCAGGCTTTCTACCCCAGGCTGGTGCTGAGGCATTCAGCAAAGTGCGTACAATCCACTCCTTGCAACCTTCTTCCGTTACTAAATGGCAACAACCTCATCCCAATTCATCAAATGGTTCCAATATGTGCGCTACAGCTAATTTGGCAACCACTAGAGCACCTCCTTCGGCACCCCCTTCCAACCCTATGTTACCACCCAGAACTCAGCCGATGATTCCTAATGTTAATACGCAGACTCCTCAACCCAACAACAAGCCAGGGTCCATGAATTTTTCCCATTTCTCGAGGCCTGCAGCCTTAATGAAAGCAAATTTGCATAGTCTAACAGGAATGAACTCTGTGCCTCCGCCCAGTGCACGATTTAAGCAGCAGCAGAATCAAACTGGAAAGCCAACCGTGGAGGCGTGTACATCCACTGGATCTTCTATTGCTGAGTCCACTACCGCAGGGCAGAGGTCATCGGGGACGCAGCAGGAGTTGAAGACGCAACCTGGAGTTACCGAGAGGGAGCAGAGTAATGGCATCAAGGATTGCAGATGGCAATCTGCACCTAGTTTATCACCGAAGAAAGATCGAGATTATGTTGTATCCGAAGGAGATTGCAAAAAAACTTTTAATGACCAGGAAACCTACCGGATTTCAGGTGTGACCAGTGACGCTGTGCTAGCTTCTTCTGAAAAAGGAGTGTCGCATGTTACACAGCATCCTGATATTCAGGAGCCTACTATCACATCTTCCTCAGGAGGATGTGGGACCAGCGCTGAAAGGCCAAAAGGGTTCGCAACAAGTAACAAAAGGAAGTCAAGTGAGAGGGAAGATACCGAATGCCAGAGTGAAGTAAGTCTTTAGGACAATGTGATGCGGAAACTGGAGTTCTGGGAGTGACAGGAGTCATTGATTGAGAATGATCTTTATGATGGTTCATGCTCACCATGACTGCTAATATAATGGCTACCAAATTTACAGACAATGTATTCATAGCATTTAATTCTTGAGTGTTACTGATTGTTTTCATTGTGCCTTCTGAATTACAGGATGGGGAAGATGAATCAATAGATACAAAGAAGCCTGTTACTGGTCGTGGAAGTACAGCCAAAAGAAGCAGGGCTGCCGAAGTCCACAATCAGTCAGAGAGGGTATGCAAGTGTCTTGCATATTCCACGTATTCTTTATAAATTTTTTGACGAGAAAGAGACCCATGAATATGTGATGCTCTTCTAAGTTAAGTGGCTGAAGTTTCAGTGAGCATCCACTTATTTTTCGGTGGTTTATTGTTGCAGCGGCGACGAGATAGAATAAACGAGAAGATGAGAGCCTTGCAAGAGCTTATACCGAACTCAAACAAGGTGTGTAAATTCTTCAGTCCTAAGTTTATTGCCAGGGTGCCGAGTTCATTTCAAATCACTCTCGTGACTTCCAACTTCGTGTCTATTGTTTCAATTTTCATCGTTCACATGATCACCACGTGACATATGTGGTTTCAGACTGACAAAGCATCCATGCTGGAAGAGGCAATTGAGTACTTAAAGATGCTTCAGCTCCAGCTCCAGGTATGTGCTATGCAGAATGCATCTCAACAATTTGCTGTCTTCCAAATTTTTCCCCTTTTCATGTTTCTGCAAAGGCCGGATTTGTGGATCTGGTTATGTAGGCATAATGTGCTTATGCCGAACTGAGCAACTAACCTCGCATTCTGGTGGATGCAGATGATATCAATGAGGACAGGTATGACTTTGCCACCAATGGTGGTGCCTGGTGGCTTACAACAACACATGCAGATGCCGCAAATGCCAGGTATGCCGTCGATGGGGATGGGAATGGGGATGGTGCCAATGGGGCTTAGTCACGGGATGATGATGGATATGGGAGTAACTGCACAGGGAAGAGGAGTGGTGCCCATGCAATCCCATGCAGGGCCATCCCTCAATGGCTCTATGGCAAGTGCATCCTCGATGGTTGACGTGCACGATCCTCGCTATCTAGCGTCAGGTGTTATTGATCCCTATAATGCCTATCTGGCTCGTCAACATCAGCCAATGCAAATGACGCAGGTTAGATCTACTAGTAACTTTGCTCAGCATAATGTTGTGAACCGTCTATTGCAACACTTCTGTGCTATTCGTTCGTGTCTTTGGCACTAAGTCTTGTTTGGTGTTCTTTTAATGTGTAGCCTCTAAATATAGACAAGTATAATGCCTACTTGATGCAACAGCACCAGCTTCAACAGCAACAACAGCACCATCATCACCAGCAACAGCACCCTCAACACCAACAACATCAGCAGACTTCTAATATGAATGGGGGTCCATCTCATTAATGGTAAAGCTTCCTTTTGTATGGTTTGCGTAGGAAACGAGCTGGGTTTTAAAGTGAAAATTCTGTGTGGATCACTAGCGTTGTAGAAATCGTTTATATATATTTGGCCAAGCTTATAATTGATGAAGCTGTGAGAGTTGTTTCGAAAATTGGAACCGACGAATTTTCTTTGAACAGGTCTTGGGAATACTGGCGAGTACGGAAGTTTGTGCAGCCTTGTAACAAAGAATGTAAACTTGGTGGTTCTCTGGAACTTGAGGTGAGAACTTGGACACGTATCAACCTCTCTTTTGCAGTGGCTTTTAACAAAGCTGAAGAGCTTTGACCATTATGGCGGTGGATGGGCCAGTGCCAACTCTGCGGGAGCAGGCTGTTGCCAGTGTAAACGTCACATCATCTGTTCACTTGGAATCCTTTTTACCAGGGAGATTGAGCAGACCAAGGGCTGAGGCTGTTAAACAGTGGTCATGGTCATTGCCAATTCAATCTGGAGCTTTCAGTAGAATCAGGGTCTTGGAGATTCGGTGGTAATCAGTTAGCTAGTATTTTTCTGCAGTTATGCAAAGAGTCGTGAGATTTGTGTCAATATTCAAAGTCGGAAGTGGAACTGTAAACATGATCACCATCATTCTCTTGCAAAATATATTAGTGACGATGCACATCCAAGAATAAGGTGCAGTCTCCGTTTTTAACCTTGCATTCTGTGCTGTCTTCTTTAATGATCAATTTTTGTTTTGGAGTTTAGCGCACTTGCTGTCTGAGTTGGATGTTCCTGTCAATTGCTAAATTCGTAAACACGACTCTCGCATTGCTTGCAAGTAGATTACTTTTCTGCAGGATGTGTTGTAGCATTTTCGCAACAAACACTTTTATTTTGCTCGACACACGTGTTGAAAAGCCAAGTCCTTGTGTTGAAACAATTGGTTGAAGCAAAGCTTAGTACCTCCGTATACTATGATAAACAACCCCCAAAAAAATGCCAGAAACGCATACTACCCCTACTTTCCTCATCATTTTAATTTTGACTGTGATGAAATCAGAAAGCTGACACCATTGAGAACATTATGTATTTTAGCTAATTTGAGCATCCAAGTGTGCAGCGCGTGATAGATTGCTAGGATTCAGGAATCCCAAACGTTATTTCTGCAGATGTGTGGGATCAAAAGTAAGATCCTCCTTTTTGCTCACTGTACAGGTCTGCAGGTTTTAGGGCCATCAGGGCCGCGATTTTGAGGAAAAGGATATGATAATCATTTTCGAGGCGATGTGGACCAGATTTTGATTATCATCCTAATAAGGCACAATTCTATATTTAGATAAGTCTCAATCATGAAAAGTATATACTGCCAAGATGAGATCCAAACAGTGCCTAGGTTTAGAGCTCATCCGGAGCTTCATGGCGAGTTTTTCAATCGAGGAACTCAGCGAAAGATGCAAGACACCGCGAGGAGTGTCTGCGATTGTGTCAGAGCATACATTTTCATTGATAACTGTGTGGGATTGCCATGCGAGAATGATACAGCCCAGAATTTTCGGGATTTGGGAGAGGGACTGTATGTAGCGAATTGGGGTTGAAATTGTTGGCGACAAGATGCCAAGCGTGGTGAAGTTGGTGATGGATGTCGAGGGTTGTTTGGGTCGAACCAAGCAGTCCATTCAAAAGGCTTGTGATGAGGCAGCCACTGTTTGTGTTGGGCCTAAGATTGAGTTTTGTGACTGGATGCGAGGATGACTTCGTGGTGAGCGACACGCAGCAGAATTTGTTCGACTCTCAGAGCACTCGCCAATTTTTGTATTCCGATGCTTCTAATGAAAGTGAGAATTTCGCGAATGCCAGTGTTTAGCAGCTATTGTCTGTAACACACGTCTGTATTCTATGGATGAGGGCGACCGGCTCCGGAAATTTTTCACGCTCTGCCCGGAACATTTCAATCCGATCGTCCATAAAACTTTCGAAATTGCTGATTAGGGGCATGAATAGCAATCTCTAACAGAGGGATTTAAAGGCACTATCACAAACTCCTCCCCTTGCTAAGTTCCTTATTCTACAGCGCTCCAAAGTTTGTAAGTAGGAATGTTGCGTAATTTTCTCTTATGTTGTACCATGTGCTTTTGCATCATATCTTCACCATCTTCACCTCAGAATTTTATTTATGAGATATTTGATTTCCATCTCAGCAAATTTTATTTTTGGTAGCTCTCTATAGACGAAGACATTCGCTGAAGAAAAGCAACGAAGCTCACAATATTTCCATCATTGAATAGCTAAAGTTTGGGTAGAATGAGCAGGATATTTCTCATCATGGTAATAAGCTCTACGGTTGGAGCCCATTCCACTTCCTTAAACTAGTAAACTGATGTCGCAGACTATTGCATTGGTGAGGTCTGAAGCTAAAATTTATGTAAATACCTCATGGCTTCATGTCTCTTCCACTCCGTTTGGTCCTTAGTATTCATGAGTTTACATCAAACCCTATTAATTCTATTCGAATTCAATTGGCATGTTCTATCAACATCCTTGAATTGTCGATCAGATGTCGCCAATAATTTTTCTGCAAGTTACAAAAACTCTTCGTTATTTGATAGATACCTAATTGGATACTTCTCATGCATGTGGGTGTGCCTGCACAGTGGTGAATGGAGTTGTTGCTGAAGGCTCACAGTTCTCCGTGAAAGGTGTTAAGATTGTGGTGATGTGTGAGACCTTGGATGCTGTGAGTGTGTTTCTTCCTAATCATGTCATTCTTGTTCACACCGTTTAGCGTTTACATACGCATATACATGGTTTTGTGGATTGTTCAATGGAGCAGAATTTGGATGAGTGATTTCTTTTTCAAGTGAGGTCGCCTTAACCCTATAAAGCACGTTTATGCATTAATCGAGTGGCTGGTTACTCAATTGTGTTTTTGACCTCTGCTTTAAGGTATTGGAAATAGAGTGAACATGATTATGGAACCTGCTCACATGCCATTGGCAGTTTACAAGATTTTTTGGGGGTACAGAAAAGTGTAAGCCATCAAGAGCTTGAAACCCAGTTCTGTTTCAGCTACGTTCAAACTCTCACGAGAGACGGATTTCAGTAGTCACTACCCTTCGAATCCTATTGAAGTAAACTTTAGTAGTCTACGTAGTCCTCGTACCATGCAAGTGCATACTCCCAGTCCTTGTGAGGAAATAGCTCTCTGTTCTGCTCGCTGGCTTCGACATAACTTGCAATCATTATGGGACAACCGGATACTTGTTACTTGCAGGAAGTGCTGACGGCTCATTGGTAGCTGCTATTTTTTAAGCTATCTTTGCTATCTTTTTTTAAAACAATTTCACCAAAAATATCTCTTTATATATATATATATATACATACATACGTGAGGGTGTTGGAGCAGGCAAAAGAAGTAAGGAATAATGTTCCAAAAAAGGATGAATGCAATCAATTGTGTCTTGCTAGATAAATGTAACTCTAGCATTCTTGCATTGGTGTAGTGTGGTTGCTAATATTAAAAAGTTTTTTTTTGCAAAAGTTTGTGAATAATATGGAAGATGGAGGGTTGGTATTTTATTTTTACTATAAATGTTGAGTATTACTAAAATAGAAACTTTGTTTGAATAGAATATTGTTGTTGGCATTGTAAAGTCATTTTTTTATTATTGCAAAGTCTTTTTTGTTTTTAAATGAGGATTTTGTATTTTGCAATGCCAATTGTTAAAAGATTGTTTTATATTTTGCAATTGATAAAAGATTGCAATTGTTTTATCTAGAGTTAATTTTTTTTAGAAATTTTAAGTCTTGTACTTCTAAAAAATTGTTTTCCAACTCTAATGAATGTCTTTAAAAAATACAAGTTCTATAATTTAGTACTAAGTATTATAATAAATCTCATGCACATAATTTTACTTTTTAAAGCTTGAATTTCGTAAAATTAAGTATTAAGAAAAAATTAAAATAAGAAATTTTACTTTCTATTGTTGACTTAATTAGAAAAATATAAGTATTATACATAATACAAAAACATGAAACAAATATATAAAGAAATTTACTTTAATTTCTATATGTAATAATTTAGGCATGGTAGTTAAAACCTATACTTTATAAAAACAACATATAAATTGATTAAAACATAAATATATATATATATATATATATATATATATATCATACTATTGAGAATACTGGAGAGATAGATTAGATTCTATCAAATAAAATATAAACATTTAAGCAATCTAAGATAAGACATTTTTTTTATATGTCTTTGATATCATTAATTATAATTGATCATATTTAATAAGTTATCTATGTATATCCTATTTATAAAAAATCTAAGAATATAGTTGAAGATATTTTTTTAATAATCTTAGATAAATTCCTTAGATTCTAATTGTATCTTCTTCTCTTATTTTATATACTTTGTATTTATCTTTAAATCAATTAAAAAAACCAATATAATTCAAAATCTCTAATATTTTCTCATTTTTTCTTGCTCTAAATCCAAGTTCTTCTATTAGTATTAATTTTAGTTGTCAAATACCTTCAATTTCTATAAGAAAAATATCTGATAGCTTTACAAAATCAATTATTTTAATTGGTGAGAATAATAAGTAAAGTGATCAAACAATCACTTTTCTTTAAAATTGAGGTAAAAAAGACAATAGGCAGATAAGTACATAAATTAAAAAAAATAATAGAAAAGAAATTGATATTGCAAAAAGTAATAGTTTAAAAAATAGAATTTAGAATTCTAATTGCAATAAAATACAAAGTGCTTCAGTTTAAAAAAGAAAAAGTAAAAGAAAAAATATTGCATATACATATGTATACAACAAACATGATATTTCTATTATAAAATAATAGTTATTCTTAAATTATAACAAAATACTTGTAATATAAAATTAAAGATGTGTTAATAAAAATCATATATATATTTGAAATATATTTGAAATATAAAAAATATGATAAAAATATAATAAAACATCAAATATATTATTGAGATAAGAAGAATAAGTAATTACATTTTAGGATTAAAAACAAATTGTATACAACTTTTTAAAAACTAATTTTTTACACTTTTGTAATATCTGAATTTATAAGAGTTTCTATTGATATTGTATAATTTTTTACATATTATGTAAATAATTTACGTGCATTAGTATCAACATTGTTATTTTATTCTATTATATACTTCTATCGCTTTGGTTGCATAGTATATATTGCACACAGTTTTTGTACTACATTTTGTCTATTATAAAGAAAATTATATGATATATTAAAATTATAATTATTATTTAATAAATTAAGATAAACACACACATATACACACTACAAAAAACCATTATTTGTTACATAGTATTAAAATATTTAAAATAAATATTTAAATAAATATTTTTCTTATTGTACAACTTTTCTTCTCATAATTTCTTTTGTGTGTTATTACCTAAATTTCATGTATTAAACAAAGTACTAAACATATAATTTTATATCATTTCAAGTTTTATTGTAATAATCATAGAATTATACATCTTTTAAAATATATTATACCTTTATTTAATATACAATTTGCATGTTGTTGTTGTTGTTGTTGTTGTTGTGTTTTTTTTTTTTGAGATTGGAAGCATAGACCTTAAAAAAAAAATTAAAGATCTTTTTAACATAAAAATATAATTTTTGATATTAATATATATGGATGCACAGGCAATGTTAAATAAAT